GGAAGGGACATTAGTGGTGATCGATGTACAGTTTGAGTGTTCGGTGGTCCATCTTGTGAAGTTATTTCGCTATCGGAGGGGCTTTCTTTATGAGCTTCTCCAGTGGTCGGCCTGACGTCCCCTTCGTACCACAAAGTGCTCCGTTGTTGCAATTATTGTGCTTTGAGGGTACACCGCAGAAACGACCATTCGATCGACGGCGAGCTCTTCCTTTATTGGCCCCCGACCCTTTTCGTGGTATGTCCAAACGCACCTGGTTGCGAGTGGGAGGACTCCCGAGGAGCCCTCTTTGAGTGTTAGGTGGGGCCAGTGTGCAGACCGGGCAGGGTTTAATCTGCTTTTTGCTTTTCGGCTTCTTTTGTCTCTAATTTCCAGATGCCTTAATTGAAGTCCGGTCCTGTTCTGTGAAACGATTGTTCGCTCAGCAACATGCGCACTAGCATGCCTCACGGGCTTCGTGAAACATACCGTTATTATTATTATTATTATCGCTTGATTTGTATACAACGTGAGCCCTGGGAACAATGGAAGACTTTGTTCAACAATTATATCGATCTATTGCCTGTGCTAAATCCAGTGATTGCTCTGGATGAAAGCCACAAGTTGAGGGTTTTGCGTCGTTTGCCCGGAGACGAAGGACAGCGGAAAATTGACGGTCCCAATTTACAAGCGTGTTTAAACGTACAATCTGGTCACAGCATCTTGGACCGTTTCGTGGGATCGCAACTGAATGTGTTCACTGCTCGATTTTGATTCTCTCGCATTATTCAGGAAAATGGGAGCCACTGAAGCAGTTTGTTTCTCAATAAACCAAGTAGTACGATTAGTGAGTATTCTAATGTTCCACAGAGGAAAAATGAAGAATCAATGTTGATTCAACAGTTCGTACCCGGCATAAAATATGATCCACTTCGTGAATCACTCTTGAAAGAGGATACTGATAAACTGACTTGGGAAAAAGCCTGTGATTAGCGTTTATTAAAGACGAAATATCGACGAAGTCAAAGGTGTTTGTCCGTCCCGGTGCACTTGTTGATGTCTCTAAAGTCTTCTCCTCCCCGAAGAGCAGCATAATAAAAAATATCACATGTTACCGATGTGGAAGTGCATCCCACAAAGCCAACCTCTCCTCGTGCCCAGCTCGATCAGCAGAGCGCAAAAACTGGCCTAAGGTTGGTCACTTTGCTGGTGTCCGTCGTCACAAGAATGTATCTAGTGTTGATAGCGCCATTGCAGTACATGAAAATTCAAGTGAACAAACAGAACATCAGAATATGTTTTGCATTTAACTTCATGGTTCAACTTTTACCACTGACGGGTCAGTAAATATTGAACCCAAACTTCCTTGCTCGGATATTCGTAACGTTATTTTTCACACAACATGGTAATGTGTCACTGGCAATGGAATTAGACTCCACTTCGCCTATATCCATCGTTCCTTCAAGCTTCTACGAACAATATCTTTACATTTATTCATTGTATCCATCTGCTTACAACTTTGGCAGTTATACAAAAGAAGCACTGGAGATTAGAGGCTTAGTTATCGCGGACTTATCACTGCAAACATCTCAATCTCCAGTCGCCGTTTATGGGACTTCGGATGATAACAAACCGCTACTAGGTCGTAATGCTATGTTAGCCACGCAGGTCGTCCCGGATATCCAACAAATGACCGTCAGCAGAATTGAATCTTCAACGTGAAGAGACCGTTTTCCAAAGTTATTCGATCCATCCATCGGACGAATTCCTTTTGGGAAACACCAAATTGTTTTGAAACCGCACGCTGAACCATTTTCTATCAGCCAGCCACGCCCAGTGCTACTGGCGAAGCTTCAAGTGGTATCCGAAGTTATTCAAGAAATGCTACTTAATAAATTAATTGAACACATGGATTCTTTTGAGTAGGTACATCCTATGGTCTCTGTTTTGAAAAAGGATGGCAGTGTCCGTATCTTCAATTATATGCAGGCTTTGAATAAACGGATTCTGACCCACAAATTCGTAATTCCTTCATGTGAAGAACTCCTTGTCCAAATGGCCGGGTCGAGGATTTAAAAAAAGCTGGATCTACGAAACGTCTTCTTCCATATGCCCCTGACGGATGACTGCAAGCACCTTACAGCTTTTCTAATATCGGACGGACTATTTCGGTACAAGTACTTCCAATCTGATTGAGCTCTGCACCTGCTGCGTGGCAGAAGTTTATGACCCAGGCATTTGCCGGTGCCCGGTGCTTCAAGATATTTGTGTGGTCGGCTGTAATCAGGAGCAACATGAACAACGACTCGAAGCTGTGCTTCAAAGTTTCGAAGAACTCAATTTAGGCCTCAGTGTGCAAAACTGTGCGTTTAGTGTCCCTAAGTTGCAGTTTCTCGGTCACGCCTTGTCCCATGAAGGCGTACAACCCAGTGAAGAAAACACAACCGCTATCACGAATGCATCTGTCCCCACTGATGATAAAAGAGTGAAGAGCTTTCTTGGAATGTGTTCCTACAATAAAGGAAGTCGTTAGTGATTCCGACTCCTAGATCCTGCACGACGGTAGCCGTCCCCACTGTGCTTAGCTCACCTCGTGTGCTGCTAGGCCACCGATCTATATTCGTTGTTAGCAGGTGGCACTTGGAAAAGTTTAATGGCATGTTCCATTTCTGTGACCACCGCACTATTTTACTCAAATCCTCCACCAGATCAGCCCTTTTACCGCTACTTTTTATCTTCACATTATCTGCAAAGATGTAACAAAGGTTTTTCAGATGTGCCGTTAAATCAACAATGTAAAGAAGAAATAATAGGGGTCCTATGACAAACCCCTGTGGGACACCACTTATGACCTTTCCCTGACTAGAAAGAGCGTCGGCTACCCTGACCTGAAAGCT